TGAAGACCCTGGGCCAGTCACTTAAACCCCAAGTATTCTAGGCAAATCTCTAAGACTATAAATTGCAGAGAAGGTACTGACCTGCATTAGTGGAAGGAGTTTCATCCTCCTAAGAATTCCCTAAACCCCTGAAATCCCATGGCTTGTCCCTTCTTGCATTATTTTCACAGGAGCCACTGTGGTATGGATAATAGGCAATCCTGGAGTCAGTAAGGTCTGGGTTCAAGTCATGCCTCTGAGTCATCCTGTGTGACCCTGGGTAAGTCATTTAATCTCTCAATGCTCTACGCATTTCTTTAAGACAATGTTTCAGAGAAGAGAACACCTGCTTTGATAGAGAAGTCCCTCACCAGGAACTCTCTACACAGATAAAATCACAGGTCAGTTCCAAAAAAAAAGAAAAATCATCTTCACAAAGTTGATCATAAATTACAAGGTCAATTTGAGTGTGCTTGCCCTGGAACTCCTCATTCTGCATATGCTTGGTACCCAAATCACTAGTTATGGCTCCATTCATTCTGGTTCCTTCATCCCTTGGACTGGATTACACATTGAAGGGTGTATTCCAAGTTACATGACCAACAAAATGATGATGATGGATAAAACATTTTCCCCAATCTTTTTTTTTTTTTTAGGCAATTGGGGTTAAGTGACTTGCCCAGGGTCACACAGCTATTAAGTGTCAAGTGTTTAGTCTGAGGCCATATTTGAACTCAGGTCCTCCTGACTTCAGGGCCGGTGCTCTATCCACTGCGCCACCTAGCTGCCCCTATTTTCTCCAATCTTTATGAGCTCTCAAACCTTTCCAAAATAAAGAATTATGTCCAAAAGATAATGTAATTGCAGCTATCTCCATAGCCTAAGATGCCAAGAACCCTAACAAGGGAACAATTAGACGTACTAACAGCAGAAAAGGCTAATTTCTAATCTACTTACTCAGCACCCCATCTCCCTCAAGCACACATACATGCTTGGTAGAAGGACACAACCCAGTCTGTCAGCTTGCGCTCTAGGACCCATTCAGCAACTCCTTTGATGTTATTGTAGTCTATGCCAGCTAACTACCTCCCCCACCTGCCCTCACTCTACCATTCCAAGACAATAAGGAACAGAATTGAATGCTACTTCCCCCCCCCAAACCCCACCTCAGTTGCTCAACCCTGTGCTGTGGAGGAAGAGGTGCAAGAAAGAAGAAAATCTGCTCTGCTTGGGGTGGCAGTACAGAATTGTATTGTGCTGTAGCAGTACTCAGCCAGCCAGAAGACTAAGGAAGCAAGGGAACTGCAACCAGCATGTGTGAGGCTCCACCAGGGCTGAAGGGCAGAGGACTGGCATCCAGCTGAAGCTAGTTCTGTTCCCCTAGAAGTCATCTGGGGCAGAGATTGAGGTGAGTGAAAAATGAATTCCCCAGGGTGGGAGGAGGCTGGGATAGATTTGAAGTCTAGCCTTCAGGGAAAATACCATCAAAGGAGGAATAAGAAAGTATGTGACAAGGAAATCCAAGGGGAAAAGACTGAAATTACCAAAGAATTCAGGAGGAAGAAAGCTCAGTTAAAAATATTGAGCACAAGAAGATAAACCAGAAAAAAAAATTTTAAAAAAGAAGATAAACCAACAGAGAAGATAATAATTACAGAGGGAAACATGGTCTCTAGATTGTATGAGTCTAAACACCCCTGAATAAGACAAAGGAAAATGAATCAACAACTAAAGAAGCAGAGGATCCTGTAGACTCCCAAGACAGCATAAAACCACAGTGGATGTTCCCAAATGGTTTGAGAGAGAAATAAGAATTGTGAAAGCAGAATTTATGGACTACACACTAAAAACAAATGGCAAAATAGAATAACTTGAATCCATGAAGGCAAATCTCACCAAAGAAACAAAAGAGAGAACTAATGACTAGGAACACAAATACATAGAAAGGAAGAACAACCTGAATGAAGAGAAGCAAAAAGCAATAACATTAAAACAAAAACATGATCTTTATACAGTTATCCTTTCAACACTGTGGTGGGGCTACAGGCTCAGTGCCCCCAAGATCTGGAAAATCCACATAAAATTTTTTGGCCTTCCCTTCATACCAGAGAAGAAGTCTGAATTATTATGGTATTAAAAGAAAAAAAATACATTGATGTTATACAATACTATATATATATTTCATGCATTTCTGAGTTTCTAAAGTAATCTACTGGCCTTCATGCATTGTCTCTGGCTTCCACAAAACTCCCCCCAAAATTCCCATTTAATTTCTTATGCCAACCCTGACATATGTCACAACTGTGATGGGCTTTGATCCAGCAATACCACTTCCAGGGCTGTATCCCAAAGAGATCATAAAAATGTGAAAAGGACCCATATGTACAAAAATATTTATAGCAGCTCTTGCTGTGGCAAAGAATTGGAAATTGAGGGGATGCCCATCAATTGGGGAACGGCTGAACAAGTTGTGGTATATGAATGGAATGGAATACTATTGTGCTATAAAAAATGATGAGCAGGCAGACTTCAGAAAAACCTAGGGAAACTTGTATGAAGTGATGCTGAGCAAAGTGAGCAGAACCAGGAGAACGTTGTACACAGTAATAGCCACCTTGTGCAATGACTAATGTTGATAGACTTAACCCTTCTCAGTAATGCAAGGATCTAAGACATCTCCAAAAGACTCATGATGGAAAATGCTATTCACATGCAGAGAAAGAACTGTGGAGTCTGAAGGCAGATCAAAGCATACTATTTGCTCTTTTTTTCCCTTCTGTTTTGTTTTGTTTCTTCTTTCTTGTGGTTCCTCCTACTGATTCTAATTCTTCTTTACAACATGACTAATGTGAAAATATGTTTAATAGGAATGTATATGTAGAGCCTATATTAAATTGCATACTGTCTTGGGGAGGGAGAAGGAGAGGGAGGTGAACAAAATTTAAAACTCAAAAGCTTAGGGAAGTGAATGTTCAAAACTAAAAATAAATTAATTATTAAAAAAAAACTGTGATGGCGAAAGTAGAGATGTGGAAGGTATAACTGTACAAGCAAAATGTATTGATCTTAAAGAGAGGATGGATAAAGACAACTTATAGGTGTTCCAGAAGGAACATGACAGATTAAAAACCTTAACAGTATAATGCAAAAAAAAAATTATATGAAACTGCCCAGAACTTCTAAACAGAGAAAACACAATGCCAATTAAAAGAATCTACAAATTGCCTCCAGAATAAATAAAAAACCTGTGCTGTAACCTTCGAGACATATAGTGGTTGCATTTAACAATTCCAATGACAAACAACAAATTTTGCAAGTAACTTGAAAAAGATCTTCAGTTATAAAGGAAAAGAAATTCAACCAACAGAAAACGATTCTCCAATGCAGAAGAGTGGAACTATGTGTTCCAAAGAGCAAAAGAGCTCTACACCCAAGATGACATACCCTGCAGCCTAAGCCTAATTAGCAATGAAAAAAGATGGACATCTAATAAAAATGAAGCATTTGAAGCCTTCCATTAAGAAAACCACCATGAAGAGATTATTTGCTTGCAAACACCCTAGACAACAGATATACAAGAAAGGTAAACTACAGTAACCAAGGAAGATATAAGCAATGAAATAAATTACCTCGGAGGGAAAAGAACATTAAAAGATAAAGGCACTTACGGAGTTAAAGGGGGAAAAGAAGGGGGATTTTACTTGACTACTTAATTGAAAGGGGGAAAAAAGAGGGGAAGAATTAGATAAGTAGGTAAAAGGAAGGAAAAGAAACAACTCAGAACTAGTAAGTTAAGCAAAACTCCAAAATCAGGGAAAGGGATGATAAACAAGAGTGAAAGGCAGGGGAAGGCATATGTTTGGTTTGAGGTTGAGGGATAGAAAGCTGTGGGAATAGAACTTATAGTAGATTAAGCAAAAATAACTGAAGAAACAAAGTACTGTTTTTAGCAAAGAAAAGGAACCCAAAAATCTTAATTCAGAAAAAAAACTGATACGAAAGACAAATGAAGGAAAACAAACTCTCACAACTTTCAATGTGAATGGATTGAACAACTCAAAAAAAAATTAAAAGTGACAAACTGGATATGAAAGCAAAACCCACAATCTGTTGCTTACAAGAAACACACCTAAATGTGTGGGCTGGAACAAAGTTTACTCTCCATCAGGTGAATCCAAAAAAGCAGGAGTCACAATCATTCTACCAGAAAAAGCAGAAATAAAAATTCAATAGAGATAAATGAGGAAACTATACTATGCTGAAAAGAACCATGGACAACAAAACAACATCAAACTTGTATGCTCTAAATGTCTTACTTAGAATTTCCTTTCTTTAGTTAAGGAAAAATTAACTGAATTACATGACATAGACAATAATACAATAATAGCAGGAAACTTTAATGACCCCCTCTCGGTTTTGGACAAATCTTAAAGAAAGATACACAAAAAGGAAAATATGAAATTGAACAAATTGCTTGAGAAACTAGAGTTAAGAGACTTAAGGAATTTTCTAAATAGTACTGCTAAATGTGTGTGTGTGTGTGTGTGTGTGTGTGAATTTCTCAGCATCACATTGAACATTTTACAAAAATTGACCAGCCATTAGGGCAGAGTCATGGCGAATAAATGTAAAAAGAAAGAAACAGCAAACGTTATTTACAGAGGGTAATGCAATACAAATAGCACTCAGTTCAGGGAGCATAAACAAAAGACATGAACCAAACAAAGACTAGCAATGAAATCCTAAATAATGATGGATCAAAGAACAAACCATAGAAACAAAAATTATGTCAAAGACAATGATAATAATGAAATAACAACAAAATTTCTGAGATATAGATAAAGAAGTCCTGGGGGAAGGGGGGAATTATATACCTAAAAACATAGTAACACAATAGAAAAGGAGAGGATTAATAAACTAAATATACGTACAAAAATTAGAAATCCAACAAATAAATCTATAATAAGCACAAAGGGAGATATTAAAAATTATAGGAGAAATAGATAAACTAGAATACTCACTGCACCCACTGAAACCTGGTTCGCTTTCTCTTCTGGGAAACTGAAAGCTTGCTCTATGAGGTCAAAAGAATTTGTGTTTAAAGTTCAAGCTAGTCCTCCCAGGATTAAATAACGGGCACAGATAATATGCTTAGTCATCATGCATCAACAACTGGGATCCTAAGGAGAGTGTTTAGGAAGATGGACAACAGGTTAAAGGTAGTCACTCTGCGATTATACTCAGTGCTTCTCACATTGTGGGCTTCTGAGAGTGAACTGTATCCTGAACTGGGCTTCAACACCAGAGAGGAATGAGGAGACTTTACTTTTTTAAATTTATTTTTAGTTTTCAACACTCACTTTTGTAAGATTTTGAGTTCCAATTTTCCTCCTGTCTCCCCACCCCCTCCCCAAAACAACATGCAATCTGATATAGGCTATACATGTATAATCACATTAAACATATTTTCACATTAGTCACGTTGTGAAAGAAAAACCACGAGAAAGAGAAAACAAACAAAAAAAGAGAAAAATGTATGCTTTGATCTGTACTCAAACTCCACAGTTATTTCTCTGGATGTGGATAGCATATTCCATCACGAATGTTTTAGAAATGTCTTAGATCATTGTATTACTGAGAACGGCTAAGTCTATCAAAGTTGGTCATCGAACAATGTTGCTGTTACTGTGTACAATGTTCTCCTGGTTCTGCTCACTTCACTCAGAATCAATTTATGCAAGTCCTTCCAGCTTTTTCTGAAGTCTGCCTGCTCATTATTTCTTACAGAATAATAGTATTCCATTACATTCACATACCACAACTTTCTTAGCCATTCCCCAATTTATGGGCATCCCCTCAATTTCCAATTCTTTGCCACCACAGAAAGAGCTGCTATAGATATTTTTGTACATGTGGGTCCTTTTCCCTTTTTTATGATCAATGAGGAGACTTTAGAGAGAATCCTGAAGTAAACAAAGGAAATGAGGAGAGAATTAGAAAACAGAACCTATGTGGAAAGGTTAGAGGCAGAAGCCAGAAGGAATAGCCTAAAAATCAATCAATAAATCAATCAACAAGCATTTATTAACCATTTACTATGTACCAGGTCCTAGGGATATAAAGACATAAAAGAGGCCCTGCCCTCAAGAAGCTTACATTCTTTAGGGGGAGACATTTATAACTAATGATTTGGTTCTTCTCAAATTTGGCTCATTCCTTTTTACTGGTCTTTCTACATTTCCCTGTATTTACTATAGGATCAAAAAGTAAAAGCTGGAAAGGACCTTAGGAGTTATCTAGTCCTACTCCTTATTGTATAGGTAAGGAACTTGAAGGTCTGAAAAGTGACTTGTCCAAGGTCACACAGGCATCAGCAGATTGAAGATTCAAATCTGGGTTCACCAATGCCAAATCTGGCATTTTTTTCATCACTACACCATGCTACTTCTCATTTATATTTATCCTATTTTTAACATCACCATAATTCCAACATTATATTAATTATACCATAATTCATTCAGCTATGTTAGACAAACAGGTTGTTTTCAGGCTTTGTTTTTAATTGTGTTGCCATTACAAATAAATATAGCAAATAAGTGAAAGAGCACCAACTTTAGAGTTGGAAACTGGTTCAGATCTTACCTCTGAATACCTGTGTGAGCTTGGACAAATCACTTAACCTACTTGAGTGTCAATTTCCTCATCTATAAAGTAGAGATAGATTCAATAGTGAACTTGGGGTTCTCTCAGTGAAAGAACGTTCTTCTCTTACACTGGGGTTAAACATATAATTTACTTAAAATTTAGCAGGTGACTTCCAGAAGGAGCTTCTTCAAAGTTTGAAGCCCTCAATTTTGTTTTATCTCCAATTAGACCCCTCCCCACCATCCTACAGATGCTTCCTTAACAAGGTTGCTAAAACACTACTGGAAAACTCCGTGTACAAGACAGAGACTAGCTCTTTGTTGAGTCAGAAGTTTATCACTTCTGTATCAAAACAAGGGACCCCTCATCCTACCAGAGGGTTGTGATTCCCTCCGGGTTCAAGCAAGTCAGTAAGTCAGAGTTGTATTGCTTTCGGCGAGTCAGAGGTGTATTGCTGACCCCTTATCCCCAGTCTTCCTCCCACAGTTCAGGAAGAATAAACAGTCTTTCTCAAGTGCTAATCCCTTTACACAGATGTCTAAACCACTCTCCAAAAGAACTTTTCCAGGCCTCTGAACTAGGAGATAGTTTGGTATAGTGGCAAGATAGCTAGATTTGGAGTTGGGGGATGAGAGTTTAAATCCATGTTCCTCTATTAATGACACAGGATCGTGGGCAAGTCACTTAACCTCTGTGGGTCTTCTTCCTCATCTGTAAAGTGAAAGAGCTGAACTCAAGGACCTCTAAGGCTCCTTCCAGCTCTGTTCCAAAATACCTCAGCTTTTGATACACAGGCTTTCAAGTAAACTCTTTGAGCAGCTTGGCAAAAAGCCTACATAATGTTATTGTAATTGGTATACAACATGAAATGCAAAAGATCTTTCTCAAGGAAAAAGATCTCAAATTTTATTTCATTCCACTTTTCTACAGTTTAGAGTAGGAAACCACAACCCATTTCCCCTAATTCCAATCTTGACTAGTTTTCATTCTTTGCCAGCTTGGTCATGATTAAAAAAATGAAGTGGCTTCTCTATGACCTCTTGCTCTTCTATGATTATATTTAGGCCAGGCCTGATTTGTTCTTCCAAAATCATTCTTCAAAGATCACATGCCTTTAGTACTATTTTTACAGTTGGTTTAAATACACATTTAGTCAGTAAAATTTCTAAATACAAGCTGCTAATGATAATGTGCAAAGTCAGTCAAACTCGCCATGAATCAGAGAAAATGAAATCAAGGCAACCTCAAGGCACCATTTTAAGTCCACCAGAATAGCAAAAACATCAAAGGATGACCAAATCCAATAGGGAATGGGGCCTCACAACCATAAATTCTCTAACCCCATGCTGACGGGACTTTAGATTGGTACAAACATCTTGTAAAGTATATAACTGATCCCATCTCTTGATCGAGTGATTCCACTGATAGAACTTCACCCTCAAAAATGTCATTAAAAAGAAAAAAAATTACTTTATGTGCAAAAATGTAGCTGGACAAAATACTCATCAGATAATACAAGCAAAACTGGAAGTTAAGAGACCATCTAGTCTATCTCCTTCACTTTACAGAAGAGGAAATTAGCACTCAAGTAGGTTAAGTGATTTGTCCAAACTTACACAGGTAATGTATCAGAGGTGAGAGCTGAACCCAGTTTCTGACTCCAAAGGTAGTGCTCCTACACTTACTTGCTAAATTTATTTGTAATGGCAACAAAATTAAAAGCAAAAACTGAAAACAACCTATTTGTATAACATAACTGAATGAATTATGGTATAATTTAATATAATGTTGTAATATTATGGTGATATTAAAAATAGGATTAATATAAATGAGAAGTAGCATGGTGCAGCGATGAAAAAAATGCCAGATTTGGCATTGGTGAACCCAGATTTGAATCTTCAATCTGCTGATGCCTGTGTGACCTTGGACAAGTTACTTCTCAGACCTTCAAGTTCCTTATTTATAAAACAAGGAGTTATTTTGATCCTATGGTAAATACAGGGAAATGTAGAAAGACCAGTAAGAAAGAATGCAATTTGAGATGAGCTGAATCATTAGTTATAAATATCTCCCCCTAAAGCATGTAAGCTTCTTGAGGGCAGGGCCTCTTTTATGTCTTCATATCCCTAGGACCTGGTACATAGTAAGTGGTTAATAAATGCTTGTTGACTGATTTATTGATTATTAGGTTATTCCCTCTGGCTTCTCTTTCCTAGCAGATTTATTTCAATGCCTCTAACCTTTCCACATAGGTTCTGTTTTCTAATTCTTTCCTCATTTCCTTTGTTTACTTCAGGATTCTCTCTAAAGTCTCCTCATTCCTCTCTAGTGCTGAAGCCTAGCCCAGGGTACAGTTCACTCTCAAAATCCCAAAATGTGAGAAGCACTGAGTGTAACGGTAGAATGACTAACTTCAACTTGTCATCCATGTTCCTATACACCATCCCTCGAATCTCAACTGTTGATGCCTGATGACTAAACATGTTATCTGTGCTCTGCGTCTAATCTTGAGAGGGCCAACTTGAACTTTAAGCACAAACCCTTCTGACCTCTATTGACAAACCTATTGGATTTGGCCATGGACTGCTCCACTGTGTTGACTTTGGAAAGAAATGCAAACTCAGTGAATGATAAGGAATGTAATCTCTAACTGAAGAAGGTGGAAGAGAAGGGGTAGTGTTTCATGCTACTCATGCTAGAGCATTAAGAATAATATACTCTCTTCCTCAGTTCAGTTCAACAATTGAATATGTGTAGATCACTTCCTACGCATAGATCATCAATCATCTTCCTATACACAGTCCCTAGGATCCCAGTTCTTGATGCCTGGTGACTAAACATGTTATCTGTGCCGTGTCTAATCTTGAGATGACTAACTTGAACTTTAAGCACAAACCCTTCTGACCTCATAGAACTATTGGATTTGGCCATGAACTCCTCCACTCTGTTGACTTAGGAAAGAAATGTAAAATCAGTGAATGATAAGGAATATCTTATCTAACTAAAAAAGGTGAAAGACAAGGGATGGTGTTTCATGCTACTCATGCTAGAATCAGGCCTTTAAGCATTAAGAAGAATATAGTTTCTTCCCCAGTTCAATTCAAAAATTGAGTATATATAGATCACTGGGAGACATTCAGTTAAGATGAGATCTGATTCCTGCCTAATGGAGCTTTCATGTCATATCTCATGAGGAATGAAAAACCATAATCAAAATAAACATGATAAGTGTACAAGAAAAATTAAAAAATTAAAAACTCCTTCAGGTTTTATATGAAGAAGGCTTTATAGAAGAGAAAGCACTTGAGTTAGATTTTAAAGGACAAGAGGGAATCTGACAAGCAAATAGAGAAGGTCATTTCACGCACAGGAACAGCAGAGACAAAGGCACACCATGGATAAGATTGTGCTGCATGCTACTTCATGTGCTCAAGGGAACAGTGAGTAGTAGCACTCTGCTTGGTCTGGAATACAGAACACA